TTTTATCGATAATTGTACTAATAATATGAATTATATATAAACAGATACAGAATATATTGAAATACATTGGTCATACTACACTTTCGAAATGGACACTGAATAGTATGAAATATTATGAAATAATATAGTATGAAATAACAGCGCATTTGTGATTTATTGAGAAGAAAAAATTATTAATAATTATATCCATTCTCAGAATGAGCTCAATAATCACCTAGGATTTGTACCAATCTTCAAATCTCCAAAATAATTGGCAATTGCATCCAAAAAACTACTTCTTTAATCATAAATTCTTCTAGTGGAACTTTTTTCTGTTTGATCAATATAAAATCTGGGATAAAAACTTGAAGTCAACTTATAAACTCCTTATTTCTGATACTGAAGTTTTGCCTTTTTGGTAAAGAATGAATTCAAAGTGGATCAACTGTTATTCAAAAATTTCAAAAAGAAAAATAGTTTTTCTCTGAAAAAAATAACAGAATTTCCAGAGATATAGGAGTCAAATTCTATTTTTCAGCAAAAAGCGCTCTGAAAATTTGTTTATATTTCGTCTAGAATTTATTCTGTCACTACAAACTTGAAGGATAGATATTATTTTGATCTCTTCAATTACTCCAGTTTGAGGAAAGACACATCCATGGAAGGATCCAATATTTCGAGACTATAATCCGTTCATAATTTGTTGATAGCTCACTGCAAGTTTGACCCTCATTAGAGAACTGAAATACAGAGAGGACAGCTAATATGATATAATAACAAAAACCAAACTAAAACTGGCAGTTTAAGATGTTTTCGACTAACCCACCTTGTATCTGAAGAAATACAATACAGCTATAAAACTTTTAATCCGATTATGTAGGTATTTTGAGTGGAAATGAGTGACCNGACGAAGCCATCGCAAGCAATCAAACAAAACAAGCAGGAACGAAAGGTACGTATATGTTTGTAGGAATATGAAAAAAAGTTACTCACGCACTGCACAAAATTCGCAAAATAAATATTAGAGACGTTAATTACTGCCGTAGACGCCGAAACACCAACGAGCCGTAAATTAAATGCGATTAAAAAATGTACTAAACCAAAAATTATTTTCGTTCGTAACAACTTCACCCTTTCAAGGCAAGTTTCGAATATAAACTGAAGCTTTATATTTAATGAATAAACACCTCAGGAACCTCCGCCTATGATTTTACGAGTTTTACGACCGTTTTATGACTTGGGTCCTCATTTTGTGCTATCGACAAATTATGAACGGACTATAGGTTGTCTGGAAATTTCTAAACTCAAACTAGAACAGTAAAGGTGTAGAATAGCCGAAAGCCAATATAAAACATATGAAAGATCGGGGAGCAGAAAAGTTTGCGAATACTTTTTTCATGTTCCCTTTCCTTTAACTGATATTGCATTTAGAGTAGTCTCACATTTTTCATTATTTTCAAACAATCCATTCCTTTTTGTTATTGATACTTTTTTCAAATTTTCAGTCATATAAACCAATGAACTTGTCTGTAACTCGTCGTATTTATAAATTTTGCCTACAAAATGAAACGATCAATTAAAAAAAACATTTATACTCAGCTTTCTTTAGTGGTCTATCTTTTGGAAAACAATCTTCTTCCATTTTCAAAACCTGAAAAAGACTATAAAACTTTCGCCTCAAATTGTGATAACTCTAATTCTTTTGACATACGTCAGCAGATTCTCTTATTGATTCAGCTTTGTTTATTTTTCAGATTGTGGAAGTACTGAGTCCACCATAAAAAAAATCTGTCAAAGAATAAGTTTATTTGGAAAAATTCCAAATCATATTTCAACACGCTTTTCAACCACGTTATTGCTAGATTGGGGATTTTGAATGTACAAATCAAAAAATTTGTTTTTATTGTCTATCAAATAAGCGTGTTTTTTCTCTTTTCTCAGTTTGAAAATGATCAAAAATGATGCTCCTTCAAATCCCGTTCTACTCGTATTTAGAAGTGAAGTATACATCAGACATTAATACAAATCAACTATATCCAGCAATTAACTACTTAATTGTCAACATTTCACGCATATTTCACACCTTCAGATGTATTAAGAGATTTAATAATTTAGAAGCAAGGTCTGAAATGAATTTGACCTCAAAGAACATTACCATATAAGAACTGGTAGCTATTTATAGCAATTTGTTATTAAATATTTCTTCTGTGATATTTTTAGATCACCACAGCTCGTTTATTTACGTTAATAAATTAATGCGATACCCTAAGGGCAAGGCAAAAAGAATATGGTACGATAGTAACCATTCACTTCCTGCTGGAATTTTTAACATGCATTATGAGGATTATTTCTGATGAAAACAGTTTGTTTATCTGTAATATGATAATAAATGTGCCAAAGGAATATCTTCGAAATTTCTATCTTCTTAGTAGGGGGCTGTTCAAGTTTACGTAAGCACCATAGGGGGAGGTCTTTGCTTTGCTTATTTTTTATAACACATGGGTAACGGGGGGCTAGATGATGATTGAGTCAGCAGTTGTTATTTACTTTTTTACACATATGGCAACTCACACATTGATTATGTTTGAAAACAAAACGCATTTTTGAGGATTCCCACAAATAATGTTTACGTTTAGGTACTCGCTTAGAACCGAAAAGGGGAATTACCGCGCGCTGTTCACTTGTCTAAATTACTTCTATCAATCTATTGTTTCGTTTCGATAGGATTGACGTATTGTAAGCAAAGCACGCTGGTGTTTATGTTACCGGTGATCCACTTTCGTCAAAGTTGAATTCTTTAATTAGGATGTCGTTTCAAATAGATAAATCCAAGTTACACCAAAAATTGTTCGAAAGTTTTGAAAAATCTCATACAAATACGGAAGTACAAAATGTACAGAAGTTAGTTACAAGCAAAGTCCGACAAGGACTAACAATGTTTACATAGGCATGGGAGGGGGGTAAGAAGTTTGCTTACTTTTGCTGACAAGGGGGATGGGAGGGGAATCATTGTAATACATTTGCTTACGTAATACTTAAACGGGTCCTAGATAGATTTATTGATGTTTTCGAATTAAACTATTAAAAACTCAAGTCAGTATGTTATAAATATATAAATGTTAATATAAAAAGGAAATTATCACAGATATATCAATTCATGAAAATACATGTTGGTAAAAAATTATATAATGGAGATATTTCTCGTTCATCCAGCATCAGGACCATGCTGAAATTATTTGAGTAGATCACCTACAAACCGATTTATCAATGCAGAAAATATCAGCTCTGTTAGGCCAGCATTGCAAAGTACGGAAATCGCATTTAGAAAATGCCAAAATTAGGTACTTTTTAGGTGCTTTTTAGGTACCGAAGTCAAAAATTAGGTGCTCTGTAACTTACACCACAACTCAATACTCAAAGTTGCGTTGCTAGCATTATGTGATGCTAGCAACGCAATGAAAATAATAATAAAATAATGAATGTTAAGGGAACACTATTAGGTGCTAATTAAGTGCTAAACGGTGAGGATCGTAAAATTTTTGAATACGCCGTCCACCAAAACAGAAACATATCTATTTTATTCAATTGATATAAATGATTGCATTAACATTGATACACCTTTTCATAAATCTGCTCTGGCAGATCATTATCATACGAGTCCGCAAGTTTACCAAGGTTTTACATTAAGGACAATATCATTAATAACAATAAGTGGGAAGATTTATTTTGAAACAGTTACATTTTTTTCTGTTTTGGATGACATGAGTACCTAAAAAATGATGAAAATATTAAGAATAAAAATGACCCAAAATTTGAAAAAATATTTATGTAGTGAAAAACTTGCGTTAATGGTACTAGACAGCAAGCCAATGCTAAATTTATCCGAGATCATTTGATATATTTAAAAGTGTATGATTTCCATAGTCTTGAAGAAAAAATGAATTTTAACTTTATGCCGTCAGTTGTTAGATGTAGGTATATGTGAAAATCATGGAAATGTGAAAACAGTATCCGAAAGTGGAGGGTATTTGCCAAAATTGTTCGTACGGCTTTTATGTTATTAATTACAACTGAGATCTTTCCCAATTTACAAACAAGTGGGTCAGGTAACGATAAAAAATTTTGGAGAGTGACAGGTGACAGGATTTCATGAAATTAGTTATTTATATCAAAAACAGTAATTTATTTTGTCAATAAATGACCTAGAACCCTGATTCTATTTCAATAGAATAATAAATTATACAACAAGACAATATAAATGAATACTTTGATATAAAAAAAACCAAGTTTGGTTAGGAAATATCCAAGACGTAATTAGTATCTGAATTGATGAAAGCCCCACAAGAACTTTTTGTAAACTACTACCAGATTAAAATAAGATTATTAGGATAAAATAGAAGTATTGATACAGATTGTCTCTTTTTTATACTTCATAATTAACTGTTTACAAAATTACACGTATTTCACTATACAATAGTTGCCTCAGAAGGACCTGAGACGCGTTTCTGAAGAACCTCAAGATGAAGGTGGGCTTGGCATAAAGAAACGAAATTCATATCCGTTTTTCGAACCAACTCAAAGCAGAGATGAAATTAAATCAACATTTCTGTACCTTCATTGTACTAGCATTGAAAGGTTGGGTACTGGCGAACTCATCACAAATCCTAACCACGCCAACTCATCCGCGAATATTCTAGGTCATTTTGAAACCACTTTTTTGCAGAAGGAGAACTGATCGCCTTGTTGAATTAGTTAAAATTAGTTTAATTGAAGTTAGTAGTTAGTTTTCTACTAGATCATATTATCGACTAGTACGAATTGTTGATTCTGGTTTCACTTCATAAAATTTCCAACTGCAACTCGATTAGGTCTGTCTCTGGTAACGGGTAGACTGGTTGTTCACAGCTGCATACAATTTTACACAGGATTATTTTGTGATGAGTTGGCGTAGATCCGTGAAATCCAATATTAAATTGATGAATTACTTGATCACAATAATAAATTATAATGCATTTTTTCAGCAATATGAGGAGAAGAAGGACCGGAGTATACAAAATGGATCCAAATGATGGTATCGTCTTCCAGAACAACCGTTTTCTAAACACATTAACAATAGGAAAAAGGTAAGACAACAATTGAAGAATGACGGAACTAGAGAAACGGTCAGTGCAAACATTTTTGGAAGATCAATTTACTTTCATTATAGAACACCACATGAGAGTGTTGATGATGATTTTGTATATCAAAATATGAAAATTTCAATTTCAACTTTAATCCCCAGATTCCCTTCTCTGCATGGTCCGCGAATGTGAGAGAGCAGAAATTAGAGAACATCTTTTTAGGGCAGGTGCTCGAGCAGCTGGTTTAGTTTTTGACACTGAACGAGGTATCACAACTCTGTTACCCAGTTGGGACCCGTTCATCAAAATGCCCTTATAAAAGCCGCAATGATAACTTCACTCCTACGGCAACCCAAGGACGAGCCAATGCATAGGGTCCACTTCAACAACAGTGAAGACTTTGGCTTATCAAACCGCCTGATATTAGCTTTTTTCAGATAGAATGGGCTGTAGTTGGAAATTAAGGGGTTCATCGTGGCCTGCCAGGAAGGTGTCTTCAATACCTTACTCTACCGTAGTCGCGTGCTGGGTATAGAGGTTCCTGACACAAGGTGTAGGGCCTGCCGCGAGGCATCTGAGATTTTAATGCACTCGCAGGGAGCATGTCAAGCATATGCAGTCTCAAGCTATATCCATCGACATAACGCGGTCCTAANTTTTCGGTCATTATTGTTTTAAGCTTATTTAAAAAAATATTATTTTTAACTTGAATAATTGTAGCTCTGCATAAGGTGTTAATATTGCGGCTGTGACTTATAATTGGAAGTAGGTACCTTGTGGCATAAAAACAAGAAAACTACATTTTCCACATTTTTTTTATTTCTATTTTATATCCCAGTAAAATGTATTCAATTAATGAAGGACTCCTGAGGGTGAAAGAAATGGAAACTTCTCAACAGACTACAAACTCTTTCCGACAACTTATTTTTTTCCTTAGAAAAATTTCCGAAGAAATTCTTCCTCCAGGCAGTACTGGCACCTTTCGGCAAAAATCTGCAACATGTGAACACATATCTCTCAGTGGGTATGCTAGAGCAGCGAAGCAGTCGTTCGGTAATCTTCTGTCGAGAAAAATGGCTACCAGTACTAGTCAAGTTCCAGTGCCTTGGCCAAATACTAAAGATGACTACGAGCTGGGAAAAGTGATTGGTTAGTATTAAGGAAAATAATTTTCCACTTGAAAAATGCTATCTTTCGGTGTACGACAGTTCACTGGTCAAATTGTGATATATCGAAAACTGAAGAAATTTATCATAATTTTAAGGTTATATACTTTTTTAGTGTTTTCAATCCGGTGTGGATTTTCGCAATTATCGTATAATAGAATACAAGTCATCTATGATATACTATCATTTGATAATATTTGTTATGTATGGTGCAATACTATTTCAAATTGATTGGTTTCAGGACAAAAACAAATCAGAAAAACATAGATTTTTCATCAGCCCCACATTCATGAGTGAATTGTTTATGTATGTATCATTTGGTTGCATAAGTGCCATGTAAACCTAAAAATATATACCACTAGATGGACAAAACAAGAATGAAACTTTTTCCTATAACTCATATATATATATAGTAATAAATTCAACATCCCACAATAAAGTAAACTGAAGTAGGTAAATCATATTTTCCCTGATTTTCATTTCCAACTTATCTCCTTTGTTTGAAAATTGATTTGAAACAATATCGTTATTGATTGAAAAATTCTACTAATTACATGTCACATTCGATTATTTTTGTTAAGTACTGACACACGAGTTCAGTGGCGCCGTTAAAGTTGGCACAGTTGTGAATTGTAAATGTGAATTATGACTTTATTCAGTTGCCTCTTATATAGTGTTACCCATTTTTAATGGAAACACCCCTCTAAAATTTGAAGTTGTAAACCGATTTCAATAATTTTTTTTTTGAAATGTCGAGTACTAAAAGGTCTACCTTGGGACAAAATTTGAAATGTTTATTAAAGTTTCAGGGCATACTACGATATTTTTTCTTAGTTGAGAATCGGGATTTTTTATTAGCGATTTTTTTTTTATTGAAAAAATCACTACGCCACTGAATTCAGAGTGCCTCTAAATAGGTGTGACCAAAATTTCATGAAAAAATATTCATTATTAACAAAGTTATGACAACTCAAAAATTCGAAAACTCACACAGCTAACAGT